AGAGTATGGCATTTAAAATGATTTAAGGTTTTTTGTTGACAGTGAGGCACAACTGCTCCTGGCAACATCACTTGTGTCAGAAAAGAAGATGGACATTGAAGAAATGTGTTATGGAATTTGCTTTTAATATGGCAAGACTAGCCATTTGGTCAAGATATTGCTCTTGTCTGGACTGTTTAACTTTATGCTGTATAAACTGGATATGCAGAACCCACAGGAAAGTGACTGCTGATAAAAGATGGACATTGCTACAGGGTTCCTGCTTCATAGAAGAGTCTGCCAGACAGTCTGCAGGACACACAGAAAAATGACTGGCACACTGTCAATACAGGTAGACAGTTTAAAGTTTCCTGCTTTGCTGAGGAGTCTGCCAGACACAATATGGCCTATAGGTTGAAGATAGAACATTACAGAAGAACTTTGGGTGACTGACCAGGCGAGTTGTCTCTGTCATTTCTAGAGTTTATAAATTATCGTTCTGTGGTCTTTGATGGAGTTGAAGACAGATGGTTATGGTTATAGTTTTCCTTAGTTAGGATTAAAGATAATTTACATATAGGACTTTAGACTCACAAAATAGGATAGATGATAGAATATTTTCTTTAAATCTTGCTGAATGTTAATGGACTAAATATTGTTAACTGTGATTCTTATCCGATAACTGTTTTGTTAAATATTTTACTATGTTAAAGTTAAAACCGTTCTTTTTATTTAGACAGAAAAGAGGAGATGATGGAAGATGTCATTGTGTAAATATGTTTCTCTTATGGTTAATGAATAAAGCACTGTTGGTCAATAGAAAAGCAGGATAGGCAGCCTAGGAGACAAGGAGAGAAGAAGAGGTAGGAAGGAGACTCAATATGGAATTGGAGAGAGCAGAATGCCAGGCCCTCTCTCTGGTAAAATGAGACCATATGGAAATACTTAGATTAATGGAAATAAATGGGTTAATATTTAAGACAGAGGTAGCCATTAAGAAACTGGTAACTGGCCAACAGCTTTATATCAAATATAGCACCTCTGTTATTTGGGGCTGGCGCAGCTATGGGACAAGACCAGCTAGAAAACTGCTCGTAACAGCATCCCCTATATTTTTTTTAAATTAAATTAATTTATTTTATATCCCAACCTCAGTTCTCAATTTCCCTTCCTCTTCTCCTATTCCTTGCCCTGATCTTGTACCCCCACCCCTCTTCTGTTTTTGTTCAGGGAAGGGCAGGGCTCCCATGGATATCAACAAATCATGTATATCAAGTTTTGTTAGGACTAAGCTTCTCCCTTTTTATTAAGGCTGTGCAAGGCGACCCAGTATAAGGAATTGGTTCCCAAAACCCAACCAAAAGCATTGGGGACATCCCCTTCCCCTGCTCCCACTGTTAAGAGTCCCACAAATAGATGCAGCTGTATAAGTGTCACATACATGTAGAGGGCCTAGGTCAGTCCCATGTAAACTTCCTAGTTGTCAGTTCAGACTCTGTGAGCTCCTGTGAGCCCAAGTTAGTTAATTTTGTGGGTTTTCCTGTGTAGTCTTTGAACCCTCTGACTTGTACAATCCTCCCTCTCTTCATCAGGATTCCCTGAGCTTGGTCTAATTTTTGATTGTGAGTCTCTCTGCATCCATTTCCATCAGTTACTGGATGAAGCCTCTCTAATGACAACTGGGGCAGACATATCATAGGCATCATTACATTGACTTTTTTTCCCAAGGGTACTTGGTTCTATCCTGTGTCTCTGGGCAATCCAGACTCTGTGTCCTGGCATTCCAGGCAGTTTCAGGGGTGGACTCATTCTCAGGAGTGGCATGGGTCTCAGACTGGACCAGTCATTATTTGGCCACTCCTATAATCTCTGCCTCACCCTTACCCCAGCACATCCCATAGGCAGGAAAGACATTAGCTCAAAGGTTATGTGGCTGGGTTGGTGTCCCAATCTCTCTACCGGAAGTCTTGCCTGGTCATAGGAGATGGCCAGTTTAGGCCATATCTGAGCAGGGATCCTCCTTGCAGATTCCTGGGAGTTTTTCTTGCAACAGGTTTCTACTTGACCCTGAAATGCTCCTTCCTTTCCATTCACTTCTTTCAATATCCCCCATCACTCCCTAAAATTTTATGAAAATCTGATATTCATTCCTTTCTTTGGATTGTTTTAGGAATTTTTTTTTTTTTGAGCAGTCCATGTTTCCACTGCCATTCCTTTAAGGGTGTCATGCATTCGCTCTCTTCTTCTCTCTTCCTATATCTCTTATTTTCACTCTTTAAAAAAAAGATTTATTTGATTTTTGGGCAGTGGTGGTGCACACCTCTAGTCCCAGCACTTGGGAGGCAGAGGTGGGGGGGATCTCAGTGAGTTCAATGCCAGCCTGGTCTGCAAAGTGAGTTCCAGGATAGCCAGGACTGTTACACAGAGAAACTCTGTCTCAGGAAAAAAAAAAGAATAGTAAAGATATATATATATATATATATATATATATATATATATATATATAAGATATATATATATATATAGTGTTTTGCCTACATGTATGCTTGCATGCCAGAAGAGGGCACCAGGTCTCATTGCAGATGGTTGTGAGCCATCTGCTTGTTGGGCATTGAACCTGGGTCCTCTTGAAGAGCTTAACCTTTGAGCCACCTCTCCAGCCCCCTCCCACCCCTTTTTTTGAGAGAGGATCTCACTATGTAACTTTGGCCAGCCTGAAACTCAGAGATATGCCTGTTTCTTCCTGTAAGGTGCAGGGATCACCACAGTCAGCTTTTTTATTAGCTTTTTTTCCACATTCATTTTTTGTTTTTTCTTTAAGAGTTTTGAAACAGGGTTTCTCTGTGTAGCCCTGTTTGTCCTGGAACATACTCTACAGACAGGCTGAACTCACAGAGATCAATTTGCTCTGCATCCTGAGTGCTGAGATTTTATTCACTCTTAATGAGGGTATTATCCAGGTCTTATTTTTTAATGTTTTTATTAATTTTAATTATGTGTACTTGTCTGGAACCAGAGTGACAGGCAACTGTGGGTCTCCTGATGTGGATGCTGGGAACTGAACTCATGTCCTCTGAAGGAGCAATGCATGCTTTTCACCATTAAGCAATCTTTCTAGTCCCTCCTTTCCAGGTTTATAAGCAAGCCACCCCATCTCTTTAGGAGCCCTGTCAGGTCTAATGCTCTCCTTCCCACCAGGAGGTCTGATCATGATCTCATACTTTTTCTCCTAGTAAATCTCATTCATGAAGGTGTCCTGGGCTGACCTTGATTTCTATTGTATTGCTATTATTATTGTTACAGTTAACACATAGAAAGAACCGTTTCAAATTTCTCCCACTCAACAACAAACCAATTAGTTATTTATACATACTGATTTGTGTATCATTTTCATATAATTTTTTCTGTCTGTCTCGGTCTGTCTATCTGTGTCTCTTTTGCTTTCCAGGGTTTCTTTATGTAGCCTTGGCCATCTTGGAACTTACTATGTAGACCAGGCTGACCTGGAACCCGGAGATTTGCCTGCCTCTGCTTCCCAAGTGCTGGGATTAAAGATATGCACCACCATCTCCCAGCCTGTATAATTCTTTATAATTTACATACTTTAAAATGACTTCAATGCAATCCCAAGAAATGGAAGTTGAGGAAGTTTGGCTGCATTGCCACGTTACTAAATGGTGGAGCTACATTTAAATCAGGCCTTCTAAACAACTTTATAGTGAGTTTTTTTTTTTTTTTTTTTGAAAGACCAACTTGGATTTGTTCACTCAAACAGCTTAATAAGAGCATCTATTATGTATTCGTGCAGCAAAAGGCTTCGGGTATCAACAACAATCTCCAGTCAACATAACCCACCTATAAAGACTCTAGCTTTGCCCTCTCTGATTAGCTAAGAAAGCCTGGCATCCCAATCACTCTCTGTCAAAGCACCTAGCTCTTTACCTCCAAATCAACTATCATGTTTCCAAAGGGGAAGTCTGGTTTCTGACTGGCTTTTTCCTTCTTACCCCAAGTTTTCAGCTCCAGTAGGACAATCACCATGATCATTAGAGTATCCCCATCCTACCAGAGTGGCATGGAACAGGAACACAATACACAGAGGCTGAGAGATGGTTACATGGGTAAGAGCACTTGCTTTCAAATCCACAAGATTTAGTACAAATCCCCAGCACCCATGTAAAAAGCCAGGCACAGCCCTGCAGGCCTGTAACTCCATTGTTGGGAAACGAAGTGGCATCTTAGGAGCTCTCAGGACAGCCATTCTGGCCGAAATAGGTTCAGTGAGAGACCTGTCTCAAGGAAAGCAGTGAAGCAAAGAACCCTAGAAGACACAGGAGGTCCTCCTTTGCCTACCCTGGTGATCACCAAACACAAACAAACATACATGCACATGTATACTTCTTCAACACCACCCCACAAATTAAGCAAATAACATTATATACACATATACTTATTTTTAGACAAGAGTCACATTATATCGCCTAAGCGTCCTCGAATTTGCAATTTCCCTGCCTCAATTTCAGGTCCAGGAGAGAAAGGTTCAAAAATTTTTAGATCAAGCAGTTGGTGGTGGTGCACGCCTTTAATCCCAGCACCCTAGAGGCAGAGGCAGGTGAAACTCTGTGAGTTAGAGGCCAGTCTACTCTACAAAGCAAGTCCTGGACTTCCAGAGCTGTTACACAGAGAAATCCTTTCTCAAAATAGCAAAGCAAAGCAAAGCAAAGCAAAGCAAAGCAAGGCAAGGCAAGGCAAGGCAAGGCAAGGCAAAGCAAAGCAAAGCAAAGCAAAGCAAAGCAAAACAAACCACCACCACCACCACCACCAACAACAACAACAATAACAATCTCTTGTTCAACAACAACAATCTCTTGTTCAACAACAACAACAGCAACAACAATCTCTTGTTCAACCAAGTGTCAGAACAGGAATTTCTTCAACAGGTGGGCTGGGGTTGGGACCTTCTTTCTTCCTGGCAGCCCGGAGCTCCGTCCCACCCCTGCAGTGACGCAGCTCTTACGCAGGCTTAGCGGCGCGCGCTGTTTCCGGAAGTGTCCGTCCTGGTCTGTTTCTTGGCCGCCTCCGACACCCTTTTCGCTGCCCTTTGCTGCGGAACTCTGCGCGTGGACCGGCATCGGCCTGGGCGGGGCCAGGGTTCTGTCTGCGGGCAGAATGGAGATAATCCGGAGCAGTGCGTGTCCACCTTGTAGCCCCCACCTCGTCCCAAGTCTACCCAGCGTGCTAGGCCCAGACCTCGTGTGCTTGGCGGTGGCCGGGCTAAGTCAGTCCCGCTGGGCTTTGCATCCTCTGAAGCTGCGAAACATGCACCCTTTCTCTTCCCCGTGCACCTTCTCTGGCTTAGCACCCTTTCAGTAGTGCACAATTTGGGTCTTGACTCCTCTGTCTAGCCACCCTTGAGTGTTGTCTCCCTGTGGTTCTTGCACACCTTAGGGCCTTGCCCATCTCTTCCGTGGCCTGGGTGCTCCTCCGGAACCTTCTCCCATCTCCTTTTAGTTGGTGGGCAGGAAGGCAGGCCACACGTTCTGAGCCTCTTCTTGGTTTCTCTGCAGATTTTAAGATCAATCTTCACAAAGTGTACCAGGCCATAGAGGAGGCTGACTTCTTCGCCATCGATGGGGAATTTTCAGGTATCACTCCCTTGAAAGCTCTGGGCTTACACCATGTATAGCTAAGGTTCCTTTCCTAATCTTGCTGGTTATGGCAAAAGTGTGGGAGAGTTGCAGTGGTTCTGTGGTCAGGCTGTGAGGTTTTTGGATACAGATTATGTTTCTGGTGGTGCTTAAAACAATTTAGGTGTATATGGTTAAAAAGCAGGTTTAGTTTTTGTTGTTCTTTTCTTGTTTTGTATTTTTCTAGACTTGGTTTCTCTGTGTAACAGCCTTGTTAGTCCTGGAACTCTCTTTGTAGACAGGGCTGGCCTTCCACCCATGGAGACCCACCTGCCTCTGGGATGAAAGGCTTGGTGCACTTTACAAAACACATTCTCCTGTTGAACCTAGAGCTGGCCTTTCAATTAGATGGTTAACCAGCAGCCCTCAGGATCTATCTGCTTCTCCTCACAAGCACTCCAGTTACAGGTGTGTGTTGTTGCCATGCCCAGCTTTTATATGGTAAAGATTGAAACTCAGGTCCTTCTGTTTGCATGGCAAGCACTTTACCTTTTGAGCCATTTCCCCAGCTCTATTTCAGTTGTTCTTAAATAGTATTAATTACACATATGTTGCTGTGCAGCTAGCACCTTCCAGTTCTGGATTTTTTTTTTTTTTATCTTAATCAGACACATTACTCATAGAATTATCCATTACTCCCTTTAGCCTCTCTCAGCCATCATTAATCTTTGATTGTGACCATTCTAGACATATCATGTAAGTATTTGTGATTGGCGGCCACACTTGGATGGCAAATAAGGATATTACTTAATGCTTTAGTGGAAATCTTTATTGCACAGCTCAATAGATACATGTGTGCATGCATTTGTGTTTGTATATATAAGTGTGTGCACATACAGGTGCATGGGTGGAGGTCAGAGTTCAACATTGGATGCTTTCCTAAATCAAACTCTACTCTTTTTTTTTTTTAAAGACAGTATCTCTTACTGAACCTGGAAGTTACTAGATTGGCTGTGTGGCCAATCCACTGTCTCTGCCTTCCCAGTGCTACATGTAGCTGTTTGCATGGGTTCTAGGGATTCCAACTCAGGTCCTCATGCTTACATAGCAAGTGTTTTGCTGACTGATCCATCCTTCCAACCTCTAATTATTATTTTTCTATGAATGTAGGAATCTAATCCAGTGTCATGTGCAAGGCAAGCAAACACTGATAACCGCCGCACACATTAATGTTAATTTTGAAAAATATGATATAGACACTTTGAATTCATTTTAACCTAGTAGGAATGTCAATAGGCACTGAATGGAGACTGATACTGTAGCATGTGACAGTTTTATACTAGCATTTGTTAGTGAGCCCAATCCTTATTTTTTTGTGATCTAGGAATCAGCGATGGACCCTCAGTCACTGCATTGACAAGTGGTTTTGACACTCCAGAAGAGAGATATCAGAAGCTTAAAAAGGCAAGTAGATATGCTCAAAAGTCTTTTTTTCTGTCATGTGGAACCTGCTGTTAAATTATGAAGAGGTAGAATCGTTAAACTTACACTTGCATGTTTTCTAAGGGAGGTATGTCTTCTGAACACCAGCCACAATAACATTTTAGTTTATGTTTAAAATAGCATAAAATTGTTTTCTGCAAAACATTCTGAGGACTATTCTTAAAATTAATTTTGTATGTAGGAAATAAATATGTAATTTGGAAATAGGCCTAATACTATGCTCTGGGGATGATAGAAGCCTTCTTAGTTGGGAAAAAATTAAGAACTATAATAAATGAATAAGACTTTTGATGTATAGCCTGCACAGTCTGTTCCCTCCAGTCTATTCTGCTGAAGTCATAGTGAGTGATTCAGAAAGCTGCCAGGTGGAGAATACTTGCTTACATCAGACATGTGGCTCACTTATGACTGATGCTTTATTTTTTTTTTTTTTTTTCAGCATTCAATGGATTTTTTGCTGTTTCAATTTGGCCTTTGTGCTTTTAAGTATGACCACACTAATTCCAAGTAGGTTGTCTTAACAGTTGGGAATTCCTTAGTTGTCTCCTGTTTTCATACTTAAGTATCGTTTTCTTTTCTTTTTTTTTTTTTTTTTTCTTATTTTCCCAGGCATATAACGAAGTCATTTAACTTCTATGTTTTCCCCAAGCCTTTCAGTAGGTCCTCACCAGATGTCAAGTTTGTTTGCCAGGTTAGTATTGGAACTGCATTTTCCCATTAATGAAGTGCTGATGGGATGGAGTGGAAATGTAGAATCCCTTTAGATTTGGCTCTAGGGGCTAGAGGTGTAGGTCAGTTAGGAGAGTGCTTACCCAGCATGAACAATGCCCTGGGTTACATTTCCAGTACTATGTAGTGGTTTATGCTTGTGATTCAACCTTGGGAGGGAAGAGGTAGAGGGATCATCAATTAGAAATCATCCTTGGCTACATAATGAGTTTGAGGGCAGTTTGAACTATATGAAACCCTGTCTCAAAAACCAAAACACCCCCCCCCAAAAAGCCAACAAACAAAACAAAATAAAAAACGAGCAACAAGATTTAGCCTTTGGGTAAGTTATATTACCTTTCTCACGTTCAGTGTTAGATTTTTAAAATAAGTGACATTGTTATCTCCTCCTTATTTCAGAATATTATAAGAAAACACCTATAAAGATAGGCAGATGGAAATCAGATCACTATTTATATATTTATATTTATTTATAAAGCTGAGTTGGGGAATCATGACATATCAGTGGAACTCCACTTGGGACCTCTGTTGTCTTCCTCCAGATTTAGCCTACATTAGGAACCACAGACTTCTCAGTATCTCATTGTCTTTGTTCCTTCCTCAAGGGTGGAGTTTTGATTTCTGAAAGAGTCCAATTTCTTAAACCTGGGTCTTTGCCCCTTACTCATCAATTTGGAAACAGAAGGTGGAAAAGACTCCATTTTCTTTTTGAGAAGAGCACAAAGTAGAGTGCTCAGGGAGAGTTACCCTGTGACTCTTGTGGTAGATGTCTTGGCAGACACTAGATAAAGTTCCCTGCTTTGTTATTTGTTTTCATGGATAAGGAGAGTGAACATGTGGGTGCATGCAGGAAGAGAGGGGCTCTTTCTCCCCTGTAATTCTGCAGCTGAGCTTCTCTCCCCCTAGTAACATGAGTTCCTCTTAGTGTTTCCCCTTTTTGCAATGAAATGGTGATGCAGCTATGGAAATCCACAAGGCAGACTCCTGGGCACTTTCTTTCAAAATTAACAAGATAAAGGCAGGGAATGAAGCTTAGTAGGTAGAGTACTTGCCTAGTATGTACAAGTCCTTGCATTTGATTCCCAGTACTTTCGTAAACTGTGCCCAAAGGTGTAGATATATAGGCAATTGGCATATACTTTTAATTGTAGGATCTCATGCATGATAGGTAAGCATTTTATAAACCGAGCTACCTCCCTGGCCACTTTTGTGGTTGTTGTTTGCTTGTTTTATTTAAAAGTCTACAACTGCAGGCTCTGGGGGATATGGCTGAGTGGAGGGTGGGGGGGGGTGTCTTAATTTGTATCCCTATAGCCCTTGGAAAAATCAGAGCATGCCAGCCAGAATCTCTAATCCCAGTGCTACATGTTGAGACAGGTGAGTTCTGGCTAGTCCGTCTGACTAAAAAGGCAAGCATCAGGTTCAATGAGAGACCATGTCTCAAAAATTAAGCTGGAGAGTGATTGAGGAAAATATTCAGTGTTAGCCTCATATGTTAATCCCATATGGCTATATGGGTAAGTTGAGTGCACCTGTGCATACATTTGTAGATGACATACAATCAAGTACATTTATACACACATCAAAATAGAGAATGATATGAAGATACAGGCATGTATAGGCATGTGTACCCCTTCCCACATACTACATAATACACATACACGTACACACACACCTGCCTGCAGAGCTACATTTTACAAAGGAGTTTATAGTGAGTAGTTTAAAATTATGTCACAATAAATTGTTCTCAAAGAGTTTGCACCCTTAAGTCATCTGGGACCTAAAGGCAAAATAGCTTCCAGTGTCCTTGAAAATTAAATGTATTTAGCATTGAGCTGCTAGGTAAGATGCAGGAATGGAATGTGGGGTGCAGCATAACCCAGGGCTTCAAGGCAGAGTGAAGCAAGTGAAGTTGCAAAATGGCATTTACATGCTTTTTGTCTACTTTTCCTACTTTCTCCACCTTTTCTTTGTATCTGTGTTTTCTGAGACTTGGTCCCAAGTAGTTCAGGCTGGTTTCAAAATTACTAGCCAAGGATTACCTCAAACTACTGGTTCTTCTGTTTGATGTGTGTCACAAATCTGTTTTTGTCCTAATAAATGGTAAAAATAAGCCCTGCACTGGGGAGATAGAGGCCAAGCTAGTCTACAGAACTAGTTCCAGGGGCAGCCTCCAAAGCAATACAGAGAAACTCTGTCTCAAAATCCAAAATCAAATTAAAAAAAAAAAAAAAGAAAGAAAGAAATAAAAAAGGTAGAATAATTGAACATGTACCAGAGAATTTTCTTAGAATAAATGCCACTGTAATTTATTTACCAGAAGTGGTTGATTTGTCTACCTATTTTATATTTCTATACCTGGGGTTATGTGAAGTTTCTTGGGTGAGAATGGTTTTCTTCTGGAAAAAGTTCAAGCAAACGTGGTTTGGCACTTTGTAGACAAAATGCCTATCCAGGTGCTTCTTACTATGTCTGTCAGAGATAGAGTGTTTACATGATTATATGAGACTTTAGGAAAGCAAAGAAAATTGCAATAGCTACAGTATTACTCTCTTTAGTTGCTTTGAGGAAGGGCTTCATAATTTGGGCAAATTCATATACAGTCTCTAAAATTATTTATTTAACTTTAATAAATCTATTCATATCTTTTATCTTCTAAGAGCAGGATATGTTTGATTAATCAGGTTTGCTTAGTAAGGGATTTTGTTCTCTGGGTCACACACATTTAATCCCAGCACTCAGGAGACAGAGTCAGGCTGATTTCTGTGATTTCAAGGCCAGCCTGGTCTATAAAGTGAATTCCAGAACAGCCACAGCAGTTATATAGAGAAAACTTGTCTCATGAAAAAAAAAAAACAAATAAACAAAAAACAAAACAAAAAACCCATCCAACTGGCCTGGTGGCACAGGCCTATTATCCCAGCTACTCAGGAGACTGAGGCACATAGCAACAGAGCTCAAGCTATCAGTGGGCTACAGGATGAGTTCTAAGCTGTCTTTGATAACTCAGTGAGACCCTGTCAGAAAAAAAAAAAAAAAAAAAAAAAAAAAAAACCAAAAAGCAAAGTGCCAAGGATACAGCTCCATTCATTGTAGAGCACTTGCATCACATGTATGAAACCCTAGGTTCAATTTCCACTTCTCAGAAACAAAAACAAGAACCCCAAAAGAACATTTAGGGCTGTGACTGTAGCTACCTCCTTTGGTAGAGTGCTTGCCTAGCATGAATGAAGCTTTGGAGTCCCTCTCAGGACCCATAGACTGGGTATGGTTGTGCATAGCTGCAGTCTCAGCCCTCACAGGAAGCAGGAGGGTTAGGAAGTTCAAGGTCATTTTCAGCTACATAGTGAGTTTTAGCTAGCCTGGCTACATGAAACCGTGTCTCAAAACAACACAAATCAATATGATACAAAAGAAGATCACATCCAATTAAGATTTTAAGTCTGGTAAAAGATGGTAAGACTGGTGAGATGGTAAAAATGCTTGCTGAGTTCAGGCCCTTGAACCTACCTAAAGGTGGAAGGAGAGAACAAACTCTGTAAGTTGTCCTTTGACTTCCACATGTGCATGCCATTCTACCACCACCCCTCTACACACACCCACACACCCCACACTTGTGTAGAATGCCTTATATTCCTTTAGCTTATACTTGAGGTTGTGTAAAGGTACTGTATACTTTATTTTTGTTTACAGCCTTACAGTTAGTATAATAGCAGGAGGACAGGAACCTCCTGCCATTGGGAAGTTGTCTGTCCACTCAGTGGATTTTTAATAAAACAAAGAATGTTTTATAAAGCTACTAAGGGGTAGAGGCATAGTATTTTAAAGAAGTGAATAGTCATGGCAGCCATGGATAAAGACTTTGATCTTTGGCCTGATTTTTCTTGCTGAGTTGCTGCTTGCTTGTCTGCATCACTTCTCTGTTGGTTTGACGCTGGCCTCCAGCCATACTGACCTGTGTTTTCTGTTTCAGAGCTCCAGCATTGACTTCCTAGCAAGCCAAGGATTTGACTTCAATAAAGTGTTTTGCAGTGGTAAGACTGACTTTGTAGTTGATAAACCTTTGAAACCCTTGTTTCACTTGAGAATCACCACTCTATTTATTTATTTATTTATTTATTATTTATTTATTTATTGAGACAGGGTTTCTTTGTATTGCTTTGGAGCCTGTCTGTAGACCAGGCTAGCCTTGAACTCACAGAGGTCCTCCTGCCTCTGCCTCCCGAGTGCTGGGATTAAAGGTGTGCACCAACGCCTGGCTGAGTGAGAATCACCAGTTTTTAAAAGCCTTTTTATTTTATCAATTTAGAGTCCATCATGTAGAGAGTGCTAAGTTTCATGTCCAATACTGGAGTTAGAGATGTGTGCTGCCTCATCGAGCTTGTCCATAGGTACTGAGGCTCCAAACTCTGCTCCTCATGGTTCACTAGCAGTTGTTTAACTGGCTGAGCTATGTCCCTGAACCTGTATAGTTTTCCTATACTTTTTATTAAAAAGCATTTTTTGTGCTGGGTGTTGGTGGCACACACCTTTAATCTCAGCACCCTGTCTTGAAAAAAACAAAACAATTTTTTTTTCATTGATATATTACGCTTGTGCCTATGCCACTGTGTGTGATTACCCACAGAGCTCAGAAGAGGATTTGTATTCTCTGAGGCTAAAGGTAAAGGTGAGCTGTCTGATATGGGTTCTGGGAACTGGACTCAGGTCTTCTGGAAGAGCATCAAATGCTTTTAACTGCTTATGTTCCACCCTCTAATTTTGTAAACCTGGTTAATTCTGAGGTTAGCAGGAAAAGTAGATAGTATTTCTTCGATATTTAACACTGCCTTCTAGTCTTTTGGTCACAATCCTCCTTTATTCATTACTGTATTTCCTATAATTGGAGACACCTCATCGGGGAGGGGTATGGTCTGTGTAGTTGGAATGATTCTAACAGCTTACCTGTGGGGATGTGGGACTGGACAGCATGCTGAGGAAGGACGGTGGCTTCCTCTTGCCACATCCCCACTGTAATAGGCCTTTTTTTTTTTTTTTTTTTTTTTTTTTTTTTTTTTCAAGACATGGTTTTTCTGTGGGACAGTCCTGGCTGCCCTGGAACTCACTCTGTAGATCAGGCTGGCCTTGAACTCAGAGATTTACCTGCCTCTACCTCATGAGTGCTGGGATTAAAGGTGTGTACCGCCACCACCTGGCAAGACCTCTTTATCAGGGATGTGTCTATTATTAACTATTTGTAGAATGGCACTGCTATTACATTGGATAGTAGGACATAGTAGAATGAGTTTCCTTTTCCTTAAAGGTTTTAGAGTGAAGGGGGCAGGTGATAGTCAGTGGAAGAACACTTGCTAGCATATGTGAGACCCAGTCTCATCCTTAGTACTGCAAAAAAGAAAAGAAAAAGAAAGAAGGAAAAAAGAATATTTGAGAGGCAGATGTGGTAGTTGGGAAACTGAGGTAGGAATATTACAGGGTCAGTGTCAGCCCTAGCTATATAGCAAGAGGCCCTGTCTGAAAGCCAGAAGCCCTGGAATAACTTTTCTGCTGGAGGTTCTTCTCAGGGTTGTGTCACAGGCTCTGTGACTTCCAGGCATTCTCTGGCTTGGCATTGTTTATATGCCTAGCCCTTCTCTTGCTCAGGGTGACTTCAACAGCCAACAGGATGACGAGAGATGCCCTGTTTTATATATTTCTTGAGGAAATACTAACTTGAATCAATTTTGTTGTCAATTAACTTTAGTATCCAGTTAGGATTATTTTACATTTCTCCATCTCAGAGAGGTCCTCTCCTGGCTCTGCATATCTTTCTTACTTGTCATTCGAGTTTTTCCCCTCAACAGTGGCCTTTTTAGCTCCTCTGATCAAAAGTTCCCTTTGTGGAGAACAGGCTGCCTTTTTGGTTCATGTTCTCATTCATAAATGCTCAACATAGCATCAGTGCTAAGTATTTATTGAAAAGGTGAATGAATACATGAATAAGCATATTTAATGACTACTTAACTTCTCTGTTTCTTTACTTCTCTGATTATTTACTTATTTATTTGTTTATTTTTTCTCACCACAAAAGAGATTTTATTATCCCTGAAGGGACAAGTTAGGGGGCTGCCTCTGCACGGGGACAAAGACAGCAGCAGGTGGCTCTGCAGGAGTGCTTCCTTCCTTCCTTCCATTTTTTTACCTTGTTTTTATTGAGCTATGTATTTTTCCCCACTCCCTCCCCCCCATACCCATACTCCCAATTTCTAGGAGGATTGATGTTCTTAATTTTAAAATATAGTTGAAATGTTTTCTGAATATGATAGATTTTTCATTAGTTAAAAACTTGGTTGTATAAGCCAAGTGTAATGTAATCCATCACTTAGGAGGCAGATCTAGGTGGATCTCTGAGTTTAAGGCCATTCTGGTCTCCATAGTGAATTCCAGTAATGCCAGGGCTACATGGTGGGACCCTGTCTCAAAACAAAACAAAACAAAAAAAAAAAAAAAAAAAAAAAAAACAAAAAAACAAAACAAAAACAAAACCCCCAAACCAGAAAACAAAATTAAAGCAACAAACAAAAATATATATTTTTTCCATTTATTTATTTATTTATTTTGAGATAGGGTTTCTCTGTATTGTTTTGGAGGCTGTCCTGGAACTAGCTCTGTAGACCAGGCTGGCCTTAAACTCACAGAGATCCTCCTGCCTCTGCCTCCTGAGTGCTGGGATTAAAGGCATGAGCCACCAAACACCCTGCCAAAAATAGTTTTGTGTGAAGGGCTGGATACATGGCTCAGAAGTTGAGAGTCATTACTTTTCTTCCCAGGGGCTGGAGTTCAGTTCCCACCACCCATATCTGGCAACTCAAAATTGCCTGTAACTCCAGTTCTATGTAATCTGAGACCCTTTCTGATCTCTTCAGGCACCTGAACACAAGACACATACACATACATATAAATAAAAATAAGTTTATATGAAGAGTTTTCTATGTGAAGTCATTATTTCTTCTAATTTATTCTTTAAAAAAAATTATGTGTAGGAATTCCATATCTGAATCAAGAAGAAGAAAGACAGCTGAGAGAACAATTTGATGAAAAACGTTCTCAGGCCAATGGGGCAGGTACTCTGGCAAAATGTCCTGTGACAATCCCTGAGGATCAGAAGAAGTTTATTGACCAAGTAATGTAAGTTTCTAAACTGACATTATGAGGCATGAGGTGGAGGCTATCTCTACCTAGGGCAGCACCTGCAGGGTACCTATGTAGGTGTGATTTGAGAAGCAGGCTTTAATTATGGCTTAATGGAAGATGTCTGTCTCTTACACCTACTTGTGCTCCACATGCACAGGTGGGAACATAAATTGATGTAAGAGGCAGTATCTTGATTATGGCAGGATTTCTGTCTTTCACGCCAACTTGTGCTTCAACTGCACAGGAGTTCACCCAAGTGTGACTATGAGTTGCAGGCTTTAATTGTGGCATATCTAAATATGGTCAATAACACTAAGTTGCATCATTTTTGGACCTGTTCCATGCTACTGGGTGGGGCCTCAGCAGGTGTGCAGATCTGTCTGGATCAAGCCTTTTCTAGAACATTGCTCCATGTATACTTTTTATTTCTCATAGTCAAGTTTTTGACAAACAGATGTGCCCTATAGGTTAGTTACCAGTATAATGGCTTTATTAGGAAAATCAAAAATATATTACTAGCATTAATAAATTCTTTCTTAAGACACAAATTGTGTATGTCTAAGAGGTATATATGCACATATGTGTGGGTGTCTGCATGAGGCAGAGAAGGGTTGGATATCCTGTATCATTCTTTGTTTTCTTACTTTGAGGTGGGGTTTCTCCCTGTACCTGGAACTAGGCCAGCAGTCAGTATGGCTCAGTGGTCCTCCTGCCCCCACCCAGTATGTTAAGCCCTGCCTGGCTTGTTGGTGTTGGTTGTATAGCAAGCACTCTTAACCTGCTTCTGCAGCTCTAAATTGATTAATTGTTTGAGAAATGGTTATAATTTTGCTAGTGACAACAATAATTTCACCCAAAGCATATGTAAAAATATACCCATTTTCTTTGGTTTTGATTATCTTTTTGATTTGCTTGGAATGATGGAAAGAAGACCTATAAGCATAAGCAATTATGTTCTTGGGGCTGGGAATATAACTTAGTTGGTAGATTGCTTGCTTATAATGCACAAAGCCTAGGATTTGATCTCCAGCACTGCATGAATTGAGTATAGTGGTACATATCTGTAATCTTGGCATTCAGCACTTGGGAGATAGAGGCAGGAGGATCAGAAGTTCAAGCTGTCCTCGGTACATAACAAATTTGAGGTTAGCTTGGGATATATGAGACTGTGTCAAAAAACAAAAAAGGGAAAAAACCCTAGACTGCTTTTGTGTGTGTAGGCATGTTCTAGAGATAAAATTCAGGATTTTGTTCACACTAGACAAGTGCTGTGCCACTGGCTTCAACCCTAGCCCAATATTTACATTGCTTTTGAACGTAACTATTGGTGGTTACTTTGAATGTGGGTTTTGAGTACAATGACTGTTCTGATAACTTCATTCCTTCAAGGTACTGATGGTCATTGTCTGATTCTTACTCATCAGAGAGAAGATAGAGGATTTCCTACAAAATGAAGAGAAGAAGAGCTTGGATCTAGAACCATGCACTGGGTCAGTTGCTGTTTGTTGCATGCATTCCTTTTTAGGAGAGGAGTTCTGCTGTTTGACGTGTATTCTCTTTTTTCTTTCTTTTTAAAAATTTTTGTTGTTCTTTTTCAAGACAGTATTTTTCTGTGTATCAGCCCTAGCTGTCCTGGAACTCCCTCTGTAGACCAGACTGGCCTTGGAACTCAGAGACCCCCTGCCTCTTCCTCCTGAGTGCTGGGATTAAAGGCATTCATTCCCATGCCCAGCATGTGTGGTCTTTTTACAACAGCCTTATAAATAGTCTTTCTATCACAGGTGTGCTCCTAAGACTTGTAGCACTAACACAGTGGGGATATCTGTCTACTCAGAATGAATACTTTGTCCCATCCTTGAACAGAAGAAAATTACTCTTCAGCTTAGCCAATGGGTTGTGTCCAGGAGTGGATCATTGGCCTGGAGGAGTGCTAAACACATGAGGACCTCAGGAGAGAAGGGTTCACTGTCAGCCTACCTCTGTTCTTTCATCTCTCTACAGAGAAAAATCAAATCAGCATGTCAGAGAGTATTGGTACCTTTCCCCCTTTTGTTTTATGTTGGAATGCATAAAGGTGTTGGAATGCAAATGTCTACTCTAAACTCTTTATGCAGCAATATGTTTGATCATAATTTCTACCTAGTCTCTAAAAGCAATATAATAATATCATAATTTTGATAAAGACAAATAATGAGTCCTTCCACCTCAGGAATGTGCCTGTGTTTGTTGTCCATTCCATGTTCTAATGTGGACACTAAATTCAATCTTTCCTAAGCTTTGACTGATCTGTTAGGGTTCACTTAATAGCCCAAGTTAATTCCTTTTCTTGTTTTATAGGTTCCAAAGAAAACTTATTTATCAGACTTTGAGTTGGAAGTAAGTACTTGAATCAGATGTGTTATAGCTCTCCAGGACAGGGACTTAATAAAACAAAGTATGATCTTTGGTGCCATTGTTCCTGAAATTTTCAGTTGTGGGTGATTTGAGCATATCATGTCCCCAGTCAATTCTTAAATTGACTGCTTTTGTTCTGTTACCACTTTGTTTATGTCTTAGGGCATATGTAACTCCCTCTATTCTCCACACCTTCCTATCCCTCTGCCCCTCCAAACTAAATAATAATCTGATAGTGATGTGTATATGAGAATAATCTTTGAGTAAGTCAGAGGACTGTTGGCTGGCTTGTCCAACCTCCTTTCTTGTCTTAATTCTGTGCTTTCCACATCCCTGTCCTCTTCGGCTGCTGCAAACACCCTGCAGCCCAGTGATACTCCACCCTCCCCTTTGTGCACCCCATGAAGTCTACAGATACTGTCACCATTTCAGTTACAAGGTAGGCATTAGGAAGCAGGATGTCCTCTATGGCAGTGAGTTGACTATATTATGAAATACCATCCATTTTAGAAAGTGCTAAAATCCTAAAAAAGTTCATATGATAACATTCTAGTGCATTTAAGAGAAGAGGCAGGGAAACAGCAGCTGAAGTATTATAAGTAGGATTATTGTAAAGTGTAGTGGTGATTGCCCTACTTTAGTAAAACTTCAGTTATAGCCATGTGGCTGCTAGTTACATTCTTTAGGTTTTAGCAGTCATTGAGTCTGCACTGATGTGTTTTTCTTTTTTGTTTGTTTTCCATTTAGGTTTCCCAAAGGCATTCATGTTGAGACATTAGAGACTGGAAAGGTAACTAAAAGTTATTCAGTGCTGAGAGTCAGCTAACACAGTGTTGCACTGAGATGTTGATGGTTTCCCTTTGCCCTGACTGGCAAGCTGTCTGAACCTGCTTTTCCTCATTTATATAGTGATGATCTTAAGCTAATGTAGCTTACAGCTTTTAGGATTAAAAAAATTAAAAATTCAGAAGATTTATATATTTTATGTGTATAAATGCTTTGTCTGCATATAATATGTGTATCATGTGCCCATGGAAGTCAGAAGAAGAATTGGAATTATAGATGTTTGTAAGCCACCATGTAGGTAAAGGGAGTTGAACTCTGGTCCTCTGAAAGAGCAACCCCACTAACTGCTTAAAAAAAAAAAAAAAATTATTCAGGCCAGGAGAGGTCTAGCACTTAGAGGCAGGCAGATCTCTATGAATTATAGGCCAGTCTGGTCTACACAGTGATTTCCAGGGCAGCCAGGGCTATTTAGAGAGATCATATTTCAAACAAAGCAAATAAAAAACAACCAAATAAAATGATTCAGTGGATAAATGGAAGTTATTTTTTTTCCATCTGTAATATATACATTGTAATATTTTTTCTTTTTTTTAATTAAAGATTTATTTTTATTTTATGTGCATGGGTGTTTCGCCTTCATGTATGTCTGTGTGCCATGTGTGTGCAGTGCCCATGGCAGCCTGAAAAGAGAAGTGGATCTCTTGGGACTGGAATTATAGACAGTTGTTAGCTGTCATTATGGTTCTGGTAATTATACCTGGGTCCTCTGGACCCTTAACTGCTGAGCCATCTCTCCAGGCCCTCTTTTACTCTTCAAATTGTCACACACACACACACAGACACACATACACATGCATGCACGTTCTTGTCTGTGTTGGGAATTGGGGCATGTGGAGGTCAGAAGTCAGCTTGTGAGAACCAGTTCTCTCTTCCTAGGGATATATCTCAGGTTGTTAGGTTTGGCATTAGGTACCTTTACCTAATGAGCCATGTTTCTGGCCCTTGCAGTATGCTTAATGAATATAAAATATAATTTATGAGAAATAAAGCTCTACTTATCCAAGTTTTTTTTTTCTCATATTCATAGAATATGATGTGGATGCGAATTTTGTGGTCAAATGTTAGATAACCTCAGTGTTCACTATACAAAGTCTTATTTGCAGTCTGTGGTTGATTTCAACTGACATTTGTTAGGTTGAATTTTTAAAATACTGGAAGTGTCATGGACATGCAGATGCAAAAGGAGTCTGTGAACCTACTTAGCTTTGTCATTATCTCAAAATAGTTTCTGTTGTGCTTGCTTACACTTTGGCTTGTAAGTTTTTGGTTGTTTTCTTCTTGGCTTATTGAGATACAGCTCAGGCTGGCCTTGAACTTTCTATGTAGGCCAGTACATCAAAATTGCCATTCGAAGTTATAATCACAGCCCTTTGGAGGTCAAGGGGTCTAGATGTTTCCAGAAAACTGCACACTTTCTTTGTCTTTTAGAAGGAGAGACACATAGTTATCAGCAAAGTGGATGAAGAAGAGCGCAAGAGAAGAGAGCAGGAGAAGTATGCAAAGGAGCAGGTAAGTGCGCTCTCTGTTCCTTTTGCGTAAGAAATGAAAATATAGATAGGATTAATTTCTATGTATTTCTGGCTCACGGTCATGGGAGCCAACAGATGGTCACTTGTTGAAGTTAGTTTTTATTTTTTATGTTTTGTTTTTTCAATACAGAGTTTCTCTGTAGCTTTGGAGCATGTCCTGGAGCTCACTCTGTAGACCAGGTTGGGCTTCAAAACAAAGATCTGTCTGCCTCTGCCTCCAGAGTGTTGGGATTAAAGATATGCATCCCCTTACCCCACTTCCCCCCTCCGATAATTTTATTTATTTATTTTTGGTGTTTTGAGACAGGCTTTCTCTGAAACGGTCCTGGAACTAGCTTTGTAGACCATGCTGGTCTCAAATTCACAGAGATCTGCCTGCCTCTGCCTCCCAAGTGCTGGGATTAAAGGCGTGCACCGCCATTACGCAGTGAAGATGTACAGTTATTATTTTTATTTATGTGTATGTGTGTTTTTCATATGTCTTTGAGAGTGAATGTTGTATCTGTACACTTGTGCAGAGGCCAGATGAGGGCATGGGATCCCCTGAATCTGGAGCTAAATGCATTTGTGAGCTATCTATTGTGATTGCTGGGAACTGAACTTGGGTTCTCTGGAAAAGCAAAATATGTTCTTAATGGCTGAGCCATTTCTCCAGATGAAAACATTTATTTTTTGTTAAATTGTGTGTGTGTGTGTGTGAGAGAGAGAGAGAGAGAGACAGAGAGAGAGAGATGGGCTCATGTGTCAAAGGATATGCTTGTGGGGCTCAATAGAAAGCTTTGAGTAATTGGTTCTTTAGGGGAATACTCAGACTGTGAGGCTTGTGTGGCAAGAACCCACTGAGCCCTCTTGTTGGCTCTATTTGTTTTTAATTTAGTTCTTTTCTTAGGAGGAACTGAATGATGCTGTGGGATTTTCAAGAGTCATCCATGCCATTGCTAATTCGGTAAGTCATCCACATTTTGGTTTTGTTTCTAGTTAAATGGCTAAGCACAATGTTTAAAATGAAGTGTCTAACTGCTATTGCAAATTTCTCACTTGCTTACTGTCTTAGGGTTTCTGTTTCTGTGAAGAGACATCATGACCATAGCAACTCTTATAAAGGAAAACATTTAAGAGGTTTTCAGCCCATTATCATCATGGTAGACATGACAGCATGTAGGCAGACATTGTGCTTCCACTGAGAGTAGAAGAGAACTACATTTTGATCTTCAGGAGACAGGAAGTGAACTGAGACAACTGGGCATGTCTTGATCATAGGAGACCTTAAAGCTTGCCCCCACAGTGACATACTTCCTCCAATAAGCCCACATCTAACAGTGCTACTTCCTATGAGCTTATGAGGGCCAGTTATATTCTAACTACCACAGTTACCTTGAAATGTTTACCTAGTCTCAGGGAAGAAGTTATTAATTAACATAGGGTGGACTGCTACTGTGCAGTGTATCAGGTCAGAAGTCATCATTGCTGAATTTTATCCAAACCAGTTTTCAGAAAGCCTTTGTTACAAAAGCACATAGTTTTATCCTACCCTAAGGTGCCCGTGTATAGCTGCATGAAACTGACATCAGTAGTCTGAAATTGAAACTCAGAAGCAAGGAACAAGTAGAGGAATCTGGAGGATAAATAATTTACAAATTGATTTCCTTTACAGAACTCTCATTACATCCTGAAATATACCTATCATAATTTTAGTACTAGTAAAGCTTTAAAAATGTGCTGGCTGCTTGTGTAAATATGCTAGAGAATTCTATGGTAGACATCTTTCCTTGTTCCTTTTTACATGGGTAAGCGAGGTAGTGCTCTTGCTTGGATCTGGGAAAAGGAGTTGCCTTGTCCCTTAGATACTTGGCTATCGATACCCTCTCAGAGTTCAGTGCAGATCTGTCAATATGGCAGTGGAGAGGAAACATACCATGTCCTCATTTGGAGATAACACAAATGATAGAGTCTTCTAAAAGAAGATATTAGCTATGAGGAACTTGTTATTGAAGAAGACAGCTAAACTGTTTTGAACACAGAACTATGTGATCCTGGGAGGAGAGAGCGGAGATTCTCTTCAGCAGCTGCTAAGATTCAGATACCTAGAGAAACAGGTTCTGGTCACACTTGGTACTGTGTTTTTATTTAGCCAGCATGCTTGAGAAGCATAATGACTCAGCTTTTCAGAGTTGAGGCCCTTGTTCTCCTTGCACGAGGAGAAATGGTACATTTCTAGTTGCTTAACTATATATAACTCTAAAAAAATAAAGAATTCATTCATAGTACTTTTGGGCAGATCTGAGAACTGGAAGATAACAGATCTCTTTAAAACACTTAGCCTAATGAAAGGATTTAGATAAAACTATGTTTCCTAGGATCTAGAGGAAATAGTGAGAAAAAAATTAAAGTTACATATCTTAGAAATTAAAATATTTCTTATATTACTTTTTTCTTTTTCTTCCTCCCTCCCTTCCTCCCTCTCTCCCTACCTCCTTCAGTCTCCCACTCCCTCCCTTCCTTTCTTCCTTGCTTTCTTTCTTTGAGACAGGTTTTTCTGTATAGCCCTGGCTATCCTGGAACTTACTCTATAGACCAGGCTGGCCTTGAATTACAGACCCTTTTTGTTTATTTATTTATTTATTTTTTGTTTAATATTTATCTTTATTTTCTCCAAGTCTTTTCTTCCCATCTTCTCACCTGGAATCATTTACCACACAATTAGGTTCATTCATTAGAGTGTCTACCACACAGTGTTTGACATTTTAACATTGCATAGGGACTCTAAATGCACACAGATACTGATACTGATCCAAAAAAACCCCAAAAAAAACAAAAACAACAAAAAAATTCAACCCACAGCTTGTTAGATTCAGATATTTTATATAAGATTAATTATGCCAAAGAATTAAGTTGAGCTCTAAGTTTGATGTGTCACATGGAGAACCATTGGGACTTTGTAAAAAGCTCCATTGTAGTGCTTGATGCTTTGTGTTCAGAATGGAGTCATTTAGCCAGGACTACACAGTGAGGCCCTCTGTCAAACAAAACAAAATACCCTTTTTTTTTTTTAAATTTATTTATTTTTATTTTATATGCATTGGTGTTTTGCCGAGGGTGTCGGGTCCCCTGGAACTGGAATTACAGATGTTGTGAGTTTCCATGTGGATGCTGGGAATTGAACGTAGATCCTTTGGAAGAGTAGTCAGTGCTCTTAACCATGGTAGCATCTCTCCAGTCTTCAAAATACCCTTCTTAACTTACAAATAAATAATACACAACTAAAATCTGAAAACAAAGCTGAACATGGTAGCACATGCCTGATCTCAACACTTGGGGAACAGAGGCCAAGGATCAGGTGTTCAAGGTCATCCTTATCTAGTTCAAAGACTCAACTCCGACTCTTCCAATCTCTAAAACGAAACAACTGTCTTTTCCCTATCCCCTGATGAACCACAGGCTGGGGCATTATATTTTAGTAGCTAAATTGGTTATCATAATGCAGTAGTTTATTGTACATGTATTGTATTTCAGTTGATTTCGAGTAATGAAGGTCAGCAAGATGGTTCAGTGGATAACTACTTGTCTTGTAAGCCTGGCAACCTGAGTCTGATTTTCCAAATCCGTGTACAGGTGGAAAGAGCAAATTTACTGTACAAATTTCTACCCTGACTCCCTCCACCAACCACTCAAGTATGTGTGTGTGCACACACATAGACTAATAGTAGTAAATTTTAAAGATGAGCAATGACATGCCCTGACCCATTGAACTATAATATAGATAATGTAGGAAATGAAAGTTTGTTGAGTTTAATAAAATTAGGAATTAGTTATTTTACATTTTATAGCATTGTTATAAATATATCTTTTAGGGGCTGGAGAGATGGCTCAGAGGTTAAGAGCACTGGCTGCTCTTCCAGAGGTCCTGAGTTCAATTCCCAGCACCCACATGGTAGCTCAAAACCATCTGTAATGAGATCTGGTGCCCTCTTCTGGTATGCAAACATGTATTCATGTATACAGAATACTGTATACATAATAAATAAGTCAAAAAAAAATAAAATAAATATATCTTTAAAAATAAGTAGGCTGTTTTAAAGATGTTTTAAAAGTCTTAAAGATAATATATTTGAAGTTTTGTTCACAGCTTTTGACAAGTCAAGTTCTCAGGATTTCAGGTTTTATTGTTTAAAAATGCTTCAGCCAAACTTGCTACTTCAAACCAGGCTATATCCCTGTCCTCTCAGGGAGGCTGAGGTGGGAGGATTGCTGCATCCCAGAAGTTTAGGGGCAGCTTGGGCAGTATAGCAAGGCTTGTCTTAAAAAACAAAACTGCTGGGCAATGATGGCTCACACCTTTAATCTCAGCACTCTGGAGGTAGAGGCAGGTGGATCTCTGTGAGTTTGAGGCCAGCCTGGTCTACAAATTGAATTCCAGGACAGGATCCAAAGCTACATAGAGAAACCCTGTCTCAAAAAACAAAACAAACAAACAAAAAAACAAAACCAACAATGAAAGTTGCATCAAATTCTTGAAAGTGATAAGATTAATAAAACTAAGAAAAATGGAGAAATCACTAAGAATGGACACAGTGGGTATGTATACCTGTAATCTCAGCCCTTGAAGGACTGAGCCAGGAAGGGAATGAGTTTGAGGCCTGTGTGGGTTACCTAGTGAGCAGCAGGCTCACTTGTCTTAATTGTGAGACTGTCTCATCGTACTCTGAAGCCCTGATGCAATTTTGACATGCTTTTCCTAACCTTGCCTTTCCAGGGGAAGCTGGTTGTTGGACATAACATGCTCTTGGATGTCATGCACACAATTCACCAGTTCTACTGCCCTCTGCCTGAAGTAAGTGACTGCAGTGTGTCATTCCCCCCCACCCCATGCCTTTCAACTGTGACTATGTTCTCTGCCTGGGTTGCAATTCCTCATTCCTAATATGTAGCGTGTCCTGAGTTGTTTTCCTGTACTCTTCTTTATTTTGTAAAGATTTATTTTATTATTTTATGGGTATAGGGCACCTTAGGACTGGCATGACAGAAGGTTCTGAGCTATGAGGTGGGTACCAGGTCTTTAAAAAGGCCAGCATCTGCTGTTAGTCATGGAACCATCTCTCTAGCCCCTCAGATTTCATCTTAAAATATTTTCTTAGGGACCTGGGAAGATAGTTCAAAACTTAGCTGCTGAACTAAGCCTTGCCTGTGCTGTTTTGATAAGCTGGGTACATGAGCTATTTCAACAGTTTGATAGCTGTCAGTTATTGCTAGAGCAAAGTTAAATATTTATTTTCTTGATTGATACTTGTCGGTTTGTTCATTACTACTGCAGAGAGGATAGGCCATAGGTACCACTGAAATTAGACTGAGGAAAGCTGTAAAGAAATTGGTATCATATGATTGCCTCCTGCTGAGCACCCTGAGGGACTTTGGTCTGTACTTGGAGCCAGGTCATTGAGGTCATTATCACACACCTCCAGTCTATTATATCCCTGAGATGGGCCATGTTAGATAATACCTGATTTATGGAAAAATTAGGTGATGGCTCAGATTTGAGTTGTGTGACCATAGTTTGCCATTTATGTGTACGAGTCAGGGTTCTCTAGAGAAATAAAACTGATAGAATAAATTTTTATGTATAAAGGGGATTTATTAGAATGGCTTACAGGTTGTGGTCCAACTAGTCCAACAATTTCTGTCTACCAGTGGAAAGTCCAAGAACCCAGTAGTTGTTCAGTCCATGAGACGGGATGTCCCAGCTGGTCTTCAATATACAGTGGAATCCTGAAGAAATAGGCTCTAATGCCAGTGAAGGAATGGACTTGCAAGCAAGATCGAGAGTAGCTGATAAAGAGAGCACAGCTTCCTTCTTCCATGTTCTTTATTTAGGCTACCAGTAGAAAGTATGGCCCAGATCAGAAGTGGGTCTCCACTTCAAGAGATCTGGATTAAAGGTTATCTTCTCACCTCAAAGGCTTGGTTGTCCATGCCTTTAATCCCAGCACTTCGGAGGGAGAGGCAGGTGGATCTCTGTGAGTTCCAGGGTAACCAGGGTTACACAGAGAAACCTGTCTTAAAAAAAAAAAAAAAAAAAAAAAAAAAACCAAAAAACAAAAACAAAAAAACAATTCCAGATTAGAAGTGGGTCTTTCCACTTTTAATGACTTAATTAAGGAGAAAAAAAAAAAATCCCTCACAGGTGTGCCCAGGGTTTTAGTTATTTCTAGATGTAGTCAAGTGATAACCAAGAATAGCCATCATATCATGCTTTATTTTTATTTAGTTAACAAGCTTTATTTTAGGGCTGTCAAGGTGTCTCAGTGGTTAAGTGCACTTGTGTTTTCAGTAGACCCAGGTTTAGTTCCTAGCACCCACACTGGGTAACTCACAGCTGCTTGTAACTCCAGCTCTGGGGGATCTGATGTCATCTGACCTCCAAAGGCACCTGCAAAAATGTAGTGCCCATAAACTTATCCACATACATACATATAAATAAACATAAATAATTTTTAAAGAATGTGAGCATTTTCCCTGCATGTACGTATGCCTGATGTAACAGAGGCCAGAGAAGGTTTTTGGATCCCCTGAAACTGGAGTTACAGATACTTTTGATCACAGTGTGGGTGCTGAGAACGGAACCTGTCCTCTTGTCCTCTGAAAGATCAGCAAGTGTTCTTTTTTTCATTTATTTTTACATTCCAATCCCAGTTCCCCCTCCCTCCTCTCCTCCTGATCCCCCCATCTACCGCCTTCCTCCCATCTGCTCCTCGGAGAGGATAAGGCCTCCCCTATGAAGTCTACTAAGTCTGCCCCATTATCTAGTTGAGGCAAGACCAAGGCACCTCTCTACCCCCAAACCCTTGTGTCTAGCGTGGGCAAGGTATCTCTCTATATAGAATGGGCTCCACTAAGTCAATTTGTGCATTAGAGTTTGTAAGGAGTACAGTTTTTCCTCCCATGGATGGTCTTGTTCCGCCGCCGCGCCAGCCCCAATTAACACACAGAGACTCTGTATTAGATATAATTCTGTTGGCCCGGTACTAGTTTCTTATTGGCTAGCTCTGTCTTAAGTATTTACCCATTTCTGCTGATCTATGTATTTCTCTTACCGGGGAGCCGGCTGGTATTCTGCTTTCTCCAGACTCTCCATCTTGACCCCTCTTCCTCCTTCCTCTTTCCTCCTCGTCTTCTAGTCCCGCCTATCTAGCTTTCCTATTGGCCAACAGTGCTTTATTCATTAACCAGTATGAGAAACATATACAGAATGACATCTCCCATCATCTCCTCTTTTCTGTCTAAAATAAAAAGAAGGGTTTTAACCTTAACATAGCAAAATATATCACATAACAGTTATCAAATAAGAATCATAGTTAACAATATTTAGACCATTAACATTTAGCAAGATTAAAAGAAACTATTATCCATCTTATATTTATGAGTCTAAAGTCCTATATGTAACTTATCTTTAAGCTTAACTAAGAAAAACAATAACCATAACTGTCTTCAACTCCTTCAAAGACCACAGAAGGATAGTATATAAACTCTAGAAATGACAGAGACATCTTAACTTGTCAGTCACCTGAAGTTCTTCTGTAATCTTCCATCTTCAGCCCATAGGCCATAGTGTGTCTGGCAGACTCTTCAGCAAAGCAGGAAACTTTAAACTGCCTTCTTGTATTGGCAGTTTGTCAGTCATTTTTCTCTGTGTCCTGCAGAATGTCTGGCAGACTCTTCCATGAAGCAGGAACCCTCTAGCAGTGTCCATCTTGAATCAGCAGTCACTTTTCTGTGGGTCCTGCATGTCTAGTTTATACAGCATAAAGTCAAACAGTCCAGACAAGAGCAGTATCTTGTCCAAATGGCTAGTCTTGCCATATTGAAGGCAAACTCCATTATGAGTTTCTTTAATGTCCAACTTCCTTTCTGATGCAGGTGGTGTTGCCAGGAGCAGTTATGTCTCACTGTCAAGAAAAACCCTAAACCATTTTAAATGCCATATTCTGTAGGTTTTTGAAAGGTTTGAAGAATTCCTATCTATCTCAAATACATCTCTGTGTATCTTGAAACCTAACTAACTTAACTCTAAGCTTTGACTATCATAGGTAATTATCTATAATCTGTACTACATTATACATTACATTTCTAAATGAGCTATATAAACACAATACCTAAACAAGAGGAGACAGAAATCCTGGCTGTAGTCTGCAAGGCTGCTTTGTCCAGCTGTTTTGAATGTTGGATTAACAGAACACTGTTTCAGGGGGTCTGGCTTGCTCAAACCACATTAATCTGGAAGGAATCCACAGCTTTTCATTTTCTGTGGAAACAAAAATAGAAATCCTTTTCCCCAGTAACTTGTCCTTAGACTTAAATTTTGAAGTCAAAGCATTTTTAAAATATATAAATTGGATTGATCCAGCAGCATTTGTTTTAACAGTTGTTGTTATTTCCTCAGCAGTCAAAAGATACAAAGACAATATAACACCATATAGTAACCAGATTCTCTCTGAGCTTTTCATCTTTAGGTGGCTTTATTATTACTCTGTTTCTTTTACTTTTTAGTTTTTATTTTTTGAGACAAGGTTTCTCTGTGTAACTCTTATCTGTCCTGGAATTCACTCTGCATACCAGGTTTACTTCGAAATCACAAGAGATCTGCTTGCCTCTGTCTTCCAATTGCTGGGATTAAAGGCGTGTGCTACCACACCCAGCTCTTCTCTGTCTATTTAAAACCATTTTATTTATTTTTTTCCCAAGCCTATGTATTTTTTTAAAACACATTGTAAACCTTTAGCTTTTACTTAATGTGAATCTGTCTTTACTGTAAATCTTTATCTTTTTCTGGCCACGAGTCTTTTATCTGGTAAACAACATTTCTAAAATGAAAGTCTTTGTTGTTTGTGCTGTGGTTTATCAAAGATGGCGGCGGGTACCTTTACCACCAGCAATGAGAGCTGTGGTCACTGCCCTGGTCAGCACTGCCATCCAGCAGGCATGCTGCCGGCTTGGAGATGTGGTCACTGCCATTGCCATCTCTCACACACACCAATAAACTGTTAGCAGAGTTATTTAAAAGCTGTGCGGTTTTTTGCCGCTTTTGCTGAGTCAGGAAACTTTTCTTAAAGAAGCTGCGCGAATATCTGCTTGTCTCTCACAAACCAGAGTCCAACCAAGAAAAATGCTGCTACCAAGAAACCTTGTTTGTCTTTATTCTTTTGTTTCTAAAACCCTTTTTTAAGCTTTTGTTAAATTTTAAGTGGAAGTTCTTATTAGCCACGTGGGCGCCATTTGTAAAGAGTACGGTTTTTCTGCCCGCCACCTCTGGTCTTGTCCCACCACCGAGCCAGCCCCAAATTAGCACACAGAGACTCTGTTTAGATATAATTCTGTTGGCCAGTTACTTGTTTCTTATCGACTAGCTCTGTCTTAAGTATTAACCCATTTCTATGTATTTCCACGTGGTCTTACCAGTGAGAGGCGGCTGGCAGTTCTGTCTTCTCCAGACTCTCCATCTTGACCCCTCTTCCTCCTTTTTCCTCCTCGTCTCCTAGTCCTGCCTATCTAGCTTTCCTATTGGCCAACAGTGCTTTATTATTAACCAGTATTGCTGCACCTTTTGGAAGTTGCCCATCTGCACTTCCTGTCTTCTCTAGTATCGTTATTTTCCTTCTCAGGTCTTGATGAGGTTGAAGATTAAACTATCACAACTATTATTCTCTCTTCCTAGTTAGATATATTAGGTACTAGACTTATGTTTTCCAGCTTAGGACAACTCTATTGCAAACTCCGTTATGCCTTCACCCTAGGACTAGATATGTAGGTCATTTTGTTCTCGATTTTCCTTTTCTTAGA